AAACTGATAATAAAAGTAATAAAACCATTTCTACCTTATATATTACTGGCATAACTTCATAATTAATTGCCTATTCGAAGAATAATTCCATATCAATGAAATCAACTTGTATCTATGCAAGCTCAGCTGAGAAAATGTAAACATCGAGTTATGATTACGTTCACGGCAACATTTATCTTTCGCTAAACTTTCAATAATCATCCTTGTAATGTTTAATAACATTAAAGATATAACATGATATTCATTTCTCATTAAAAATTAATTATCATAACACAATTTAGGATTACATACAACTTTTATTTTTAAATAAAGATCTTTTTACGGTAGTTGCTTTTCAAAGAAGAAGAAGAAGAAGAAGAAGAAAAAGAATTTGAATTCGCAAGAGATCACGTGATGAAATGTAAACAAAACAATGGTTTCCATTTTAATTGACTTGTGTTGAAAAAAAACATGATATATAATCGGTTTTGTTAGTTAATTTATTTTGAATTTCTAAGATACAGTAAGTAAGTAACAACATTTCCAGTAACATCATCTTTATATAATCAATAAACAACCGTCTTATAGTACAGGTATAGGATAAATTTATGAAAATTTACTATGTTTTTTGACCTCGTCTTATCTAAAGGTAGCCACAGAAAGGAAACTACAAAAAAACTTCTACAGAAAGTAGCGAAGGAAAGCAAGAAGAAAGGACTAAACATCAATTGCAAGAAGACACAATGCATGATTGTTAGCAAAAAGGATGAACCCAATGAGCGAACTGCAAATCAGAAGTACCAATATCAAACAAGTGCTGAAATTTAAATATCTGGGAAGTGTTTTACAGAGGACGGAAAGAGTGACACTGAAATCCGAAGACGTATTGGGATAACCAAATAAGCATTCCAAAAGCTAAGCAGAGTATTAAGAAATAGGAAAATTTTAAATAGAGTATAAACTGAGAGAACTAGAAGTCCTACCAGGATTCATTATTGGCGGCCACAATCTTGGCAATATAAGATATGCACATGCCACAGTATTGACAACAGCCAGAGAAAGGAAACTACAAAAACTCCTACAGAATGTAGTGGAGGAAAGCGAAAAGAAAGGATTAAGCATCAACTGCAAGAAGACAGAATGCAGGGTTGTAAGAAAAAAGAATGAAGCCAATGTGCGAACCAGAGGTTCCAAAATCAAACAAGTGAGGAAATTTAAATATCTAGCAAGTGTTTTAACGCAAAGAGCGACAATGAAAGCCGAAAGTTAAGCGGAGTAGTAAGTCATAAGAAATTTTCGCAAGAAACCAGGAAAAGAGTACTAAACTGTTATGTGATATCTGTCCTCCTGTAGATCAGCGAGTGCTGAACAATCTCCTCAAAGATGAAGAGGAGACTTGAAGCAACAGAAATGTGGTTCTACAGAAGGATAATGAGGATACCGTGGAACGAAAATTTGAGTAACGACGAAGTTTTGGAGAGAATGGAAACAAAAAGGAAACTAATACTTAACATCAGGAAGTGACAGTTGAAGTTTCTGGGGAATGTAATGAGAAAGGAGGGCTTGGAGAATCTGATACTCACAGGACAGATTGAGGGTGAGAGGGACAGAGGAAAGCAACACATAACATACTTGACAAGCTTATGAAAATGGATGATAGAAGAGGGTTTAGAAATAAAGAAAAAATTATTTAGAGCTGCAAGAGACAGGAAGTTGTGGAGAGCCATGATCGCCTACGTCCTGAAGGGACATGTCACATAAAGAAGATATTTAAAATAAATAAATATACTGCTTAATAAATAAACATGTCAGTAACGACGTTAGAATGTGGAAGGAGGGCTTGGAAAATCTGATACTCACGGGGCAGATAGAGGGCTAGAGGGAAAGAGGATGAAAACGCATATTATACTTGGTAAACTTGTGTAAATGGATGGCGTAACAGGGCTTAGGAGACATAACAGAAAGACACATATTTAATAAAAGCTAGAAGAGACAGGAAGTTGTGGAGAGCCATGATCGATTACGTCCTGAGGGGATATGACTCATAAAGAAGAAGGATATGAAACAAATCGATAACTGAGACAAGTGAGAATCAACGAGACAAAGAAAGAAAACTTGTAAAAAACATAAATGAATCGGGCCTTTAAACCCAAAAATAAAGCTGCCGAAATTCAGTGTGCAGCCCAGACACTTAAAAACAGGGAAGCATCTAGAAAGGAGTAGAAACGTCATCTAAAACACAAGATTTTTTCTAAGAATATTAGTTTCTTGTGCAAAGCGACGAAAAAAAAAAATCTGTGTCTGTTCGGTTTTGGATAATAAAGGGTGCGTCAGAAATACTTCCCATATATACCTCCCAGAAATACCTCCCACATAATGGTAAGACATTAGCTAAATGATGACACCATGCCACTAATATATATATATAACTTCCGTTAAGTTAACTGTTTAAATGTGTCAATGTCTGGACCTCCTCAAGTAATTTTAAGTATGAAAGAATAGAAATATTAAATTACATCTAACTCACTCATGTCTTCTCTCTTCCCCCTCACTTCCTCACTTCGTTAATTTACATATGTTTAATACGGCCCATCATAAATGTGTAAATTTCTTTTCATTTTTTGTTTGGAAGTAAAGTCTGATGATCCGCAGTCCTTTTAAAAGGGCTGTGGTGAAATAATTTATTACATGGAACCTTAAAGTGGTCTGTTTTTATTTAAACTATTTGCTCTGGATTTACATTAGGCTCTCTGGATTACCTAGTTTCCATAAACTAACCAACTAACTATATATATATATATATATATATATATATATATATATATATATATAGTTACTTAGTTGGTTTATGGAAAACTATATATATATATATATATATTAATCATTTCACCCCAAGCAAGGCAGGAATGTCTCTAGTACGCAGGAGGTTACAGAGAGTGAGAGAAAAGACTGGGTATAGGTGGTGGGGATTGAGGAAAGGATATAAGATGAACGGGATTCAAGAAGATGAAAGATAGCGCTTGACGTTGCATTTAATTTTTTGAAGATTTATTTATCAAAGTAGAAAGTAAACGGAATGGAGTTCCACAGGCGGAAAGTGCGAGAAAAAAAGTATTGCAGTTTAAGTGGCGGTTACATAGACAAAATCCAAAGACGGATATGCAATATGATCGGTCCTGACTTGGGGTCTAAACTCAGTCCCTTTCTCGCCGACGTAATATGGCTTCTGGGTGTTAACTATTTACGCGTAGTTGGGATCCTAACTGGTGCTACCACCCCTAGTCAAGGTGGACCTGGAAACACCAGCAAATAAGAAGGGGTTCAACAATACTCAGAATCTCCTGATCAGAGACCTTGCTGTCGGATGTAGTTTATTGTCATACCCAGGACGGGCGGATGCAGTTTATCATACCCAAAACGGATGAATCATTTGGCAGTCTTGTGCCACTTTACATGCATTCGCTTCTTCCAAAATGTGTGGTTTGCTTATGGATAAGCTATTCACCTCTATAATCAAATCAAATTTGCAAGTAGTCTGCTCGGTTTTAAAAACTGAAATTCTAGAGCCTCATATGTCGAAAACGACGAGAGAGTCCTCTATGTACAGGGTGAAGTAGGTAAATAGGCGCCATTTTATATTTTTAATTTTGCGCATGCGCGTTGTTTGTTTTTGATTTTGTCGACTGTAGGCTCAGCTCAGCAGCATCTTTGAAGAAAAAAAAATCACCATAACGTAATTCACTCCGCCAGAAATTTGTAAACTTCATGCTGTACCCCTTGGCATTCGCACCGGAAGCTCCAATACGAACATTTCAGAGTGTTTCGGCGTCAATCTGAGGACAGTGCAGCGGATTCTGTATCCCTAAAAGATGTATCGAGAGAGATGAAAACAAAATATCCAATCAGCATGATTATGTCTGGATGTGATCACTAGTGTGCTGACCATGTTTGGAGTAGTCTCTGAATATGGAATCCAGTGAAGTCCGTAATGTGTTCAATATCAGAGGTCGGCAGTGAAGATTCAGAGAAAGTAGCGGCTGTTAAGTAATTCTTTAAGTCTTCGATATCAGGTTGGCAATGGAGATATTTTGGGGAGAAAAAAAACAAAATGCCTGCCTTTATACACGTCGCATTGAATATTTTGAGCTTTCTGATTGGTTAAGCCTTCTATTGGTGGACTATAAAATGAGTCAGCTCATTTTGATTGGCTCACTAGTACACGCTATATCCAAAAAACTGTAACATAGTGATGGTGACGTTATGCCCCGATTCATCTTCCTACAGGGTCTCAGAGTCAACACGGAGGCCTACATCAAGTGTCTTGAGGAGATAGTGCTTCCCTGGGTCAAGAGGATACCTGCTGGAAGATCCTATGTCTGGCAGCAGGTTTTTACACTATCCCACACAAGCAGAAGTACTCAGCCATAGCTCTCAGACAATTTATGTGGCCATGTCACCACTTACATCTGGCCGCCCAAATCTCCAAGACAGCAACCTCCTTGATTATTTTGTGTTGGGTGCAGTTGAGCGAGAGAACAACGAAACTTCTTGTAACACCAAAGAGGAATTGGAGGCAAGGATTATGGCAACATTCACCAACTTAAACAAGGAGACCGCCCAGAAGAGATGCAGGAGATTCCTACGTCCTCTGGAGGGCGTAGTTGAAGCCAATGGCGATTTTATTGAATAAATCTACTCTTTAGTATTTTTAAAAGGTTTTCTCTTTAGTATTTTTTAAAGATTCTTTTTACGTAATTTTGATAAATATATCTGTTATAATGAGATGTCACTGTTATTTACATTTTTATGTAAGATTCATGAGACAGAAAGAAAGAAAGAAAGAAAGAAAGAAAGAAAGAATGAGGTAAAACATAATTTAAATAAAAACAGTTGAGTAGATAGAAAGAAAGAGAAAAAGAAATAAAAAGAAAGAAAGAATGAATGAGGGGAAATAAATTAAATAAAAACAGTTGAGTCGAGAGAAAGAGAAAGAGAAAATGAATATAGAAGAAGGAAAATATTTATAAGAAAGAAAGAAAGAACGAAAGATAGAACGAAAGAAAAGAAAGAAAGAAAGAAAGGACGAAGGAAAGAAAGGAAAAAGAGAAAAAAACGAAAGAAAGATATAAAGAACGAAAGAAAGAAAGATAGGAAGAACGAAAGAAAGAAAGACTGAATGAACCATCGAAGAAAGGAAAAAAAGAAAGAAAGAAAGGACGAAGGAAAGAAAGGAAGAAAGAAAAAGAGAAAAAACGAAAGAAACAAAGATAGAAAGAACGAAAGAAAGAAAGACCGAATGAACCACCGAAGAAAGGAACGAACGAACGAATGAAAGAAAGAAAGAAAGAAAGAAAGAAAGAAAGAAAGAAAGAAAACAGATTGAATAGAAACAGTTGAGCAGAGAGCAAGAATAAATTAAGGACTGGGAAAATTCATAAGAAAGAAAGAAAAAAGAAAGAAAAAAGAAATAAAAGAATGAATGAATGATTTGGGTATATGGTAATTAAATAGCTAAAATTAGTGCTTTTTGCTGTTTTTATTTATTTAATATTCTGAAAGAAAAAAAAAAGAAAGAATGGCTGTACGATGGGAAGAAATTACATGAAAGATACAAAGAAAAATGAAGAGAAAAAAAGAAAAAAAGAGAAAAACGAGAAAAAAAGAAAAAAATGTGAAGTAACAGATACACACACACACACAAACACACACACTCACGCGCATACACACACATATATGAATATAGTGAGGGAGATAGGGAGGAGAGAATGAATTGAAGAGAGGTAGAATTTACATAAATAAGTGAAAGAGGTCAAGAGAGAGAGAGAGAGAGAGAGAGAGAGAGAGAGAGAGAGAGACAGAGAGAGCCTGAAAGACAAAGTGAAAAAGATGGTGAAGTGTGTCAGAGGAACGGTTGTAAATGGTTCTAAGATGGAACGAGTCCAGAATTTTCGCAACGAATCTTCACCGCGTCTGTAATTTGTCCTTGTTTAAATGCGAGCGCAGTTTCGCAGCGATGTGTTGGCGTAATTTTCGCTCCGAGAACCGATGGTTAGTTCCTTAATTATAGGAACTGCACGGAGAGCTCTTTAGGTGGAAAAAAAAAGAAAAGAAAAGAAAAGAAAAAAAAGAAAAAAAGAAAGAAAAACGAGTGAAATAAACGAACAAATCTCTGACATTCAGTTTCTCTCTCTATATATATATATGTTTCTCATTCTTCTTTATACTCTCTCTCTCTCTCTCTCTCACTCACGCTCGTTTGATGCAACTTCTTTCTCTCTTTACCCACTCTCTCTTTATCGCTGAACCTCTTTCGCTTGTTCCCCAAGACCGATTTCTTCCACACTGTCGAGGCACACATAAACACTGACAGGCATAGATATACATATAGATCAAAATACAAAACCACACATATACACAGGCACACGAGTATGATAGAATGAGGCAGAAAGAGAGAGCGAAAAAGAAAGGAGGAGGGAGTGAAAAAGAAAGAGGGAGAGGGTGAAAATAGAAACAGATACAGGGTTAGACAGAAACAGAGAGTAGAAAATAAATAGAGAGAGAGAGAGAAAGAGAGAGAAAGAGAGAGAGAGAGATAGAAGAAGGGAAATGCCCTTAATTAGATATATATTTTGTAGAACGCATATTACATTACAAAAAGAGAAATGGACTCCGAGAATTATCCACTGTGTAATTTTTCATTAATGTACTCATAAGCGCTCAAATATGAAAACATTGATTTTCATATCTATCTATCTATCTATCTATCTATCTATATATATATATATATATATATATATATATATATATATATATATATATATATCACAGTGTCTTCATTATCTATCTATCTATCTATCTGAGTCTGTTCAACATCTATCTTGTTCTACACTCCTATGTATGTATGTATGTATCATCGTCGTCGTCATCATCATCATGTTGTATGTATGTATGTATATATGTATCTATCTATTTATCTATCTATCTCTGTTTCTTCATTATCTATCTATCTATCTATCTATCTATCTATCTATCTATCTATCTATCTATCTATCTATCTATCTAACTATCTCTGTTTCTTCATTATCTATCTATCTATCTATCTATCTATCTATCTATCTCTGTTTCTTCATTATCTATCTATCACTGTTTCTTCATTATCTATCTATCTATCTATCTATCTATCTATCTATCTATCTATCTATCTTCATTATCTATCTATCTATCTATCTATCTATCTATCTATCTATCTATCTATCTATCTATCTATCTCTCTCTCTATATATATATATCACAGTATATTCATTATCTATCTATCTATCTATCTATCTATCTATCTATCTATCTATCTATCTGAGTCTGTTCAACACCTATCTTGTTCTACACTCCTATGAATGTATGTATGTATGTATCATCGTCATCATCATCATAATGTATGTATGTATCTATATATCTATCTATTTATCTATACGTTTATGTTACTGATTTTGTCTGTCGACTGAAATTGTGAGGTTTTACAATAATATTTGGTCCGAGTATAAATAAAATAAAGGCTTTAAACACGTGCATTTGGCATTCATATATGTATATATATATATATATATATATATATATATATATATATATATAATCACAAATGAAGGAACTAATATTAACACAAGACAAATTTTAATAGATAACACTAAAAAATTATATTGGAGTCAATGCAAAGAATTATAAAAGTAAATTTTCAAATTTCCCGTAGATATAAAATAGCTGTTATAGCAAAACCTGATTTACCTTATGAAAATTGATTTCCTCTACGGACAAATTGTTTTTAAGAAGAGAATTAAGCAACATAAAACACCAATCAACCATAATTTCTCCATCAATATTGCTGATGAAGAAACCAATCACAACAGATTTTACCTTTGAATCCGAGATGAGCAACACTTTCCCCATCCTAGATATCATTCTACAGGCTGGTCCGAAAATCTTGTCACCCCTATATAATATAATTTTCTATTTTAGAGGGCTGCGCCAATGAAAGTGAATAAACTGAATCCAGTATATCTGCTTTGTATTACTGTATTACTTGTTCTCTTGTTCTCATTACTTTATGGTAGCCGGTGACAACCCCTTTGGACCAACCTACATATAGAACTCGTAATGACCTTCTGTTAGTATTTTCCAGAAAATATACGAACATGAATGACCTTATTAAATTCTCTTCTCACCACTGCAACAGAATAAAATCTGAAATAATTATAGAATTTTCTATTTAGGAGTACTAAGAAACTGCAGCTCCAATATTTATCTGAATAAAAACTATGCATAGAAAATATCTAATATCCTCATTATTTAATACGCAACGCTAAGAGAAAAGTAGACAAATGCTAAAACTAAAAAAGTTAATGACATTAATAACAAATAAGAATGACAATGAAATAAACTATATATATATATATATATATATATATATATATATACATATATATATATAATTATTTATTTAAAAATTATAACATAAATATGTTATAAAATCACTACAAAAATAGCCATTTTGTTTCAACACCTCCGGTGTCTTATCAAGTGATGATGTTGAATGTAAAATAAATGTTTTTTTTTTATTTTACCTGCAATATATTTAGAGATTCTTAATAAAATCCAAGGAAGAATCTGCAATGTTATTGGTCTTGACCTGGCATCTGGGCTTCAATCACTTTCCCACACCCTTAAAGTAGTTTCCTTGTGCCTTTTCTATAAACACTTTCAAGGAAATTGTTCTGAGGAAACTTCTCTCTATGGTACCTAGACTTTATGAATTTAAGCGTTGTATAAGACTGGCAACAACGCACAGTCGGTTGAAATGGTTAGATACACCTATGGCTATGTTAAAAAATTATTTTCTGCTGCTTCGCGCTTATGGTACTCTCTTCCGGCTTCTTGCTTTCCAGTCAGGTTCGATTTCCAAAAAATAAAATTCTATAGCAATCGTTATCTTCTGTCATTAAAATCCTGTTCTTTTATTGTTTTCTGTCCTTAAAAATGTCTTTTTTCTTCTATTCTCTAACACTCAGTTGCCTCTTGCGTTTTAGTCGCTTTATTGCCTTTTATTGTGCTGGGATGATTAAAAAGAACATATATATATATATATATATATATATATATATATATATATATATATATATATATATATATATATAATAAAGAAAGATATATAAAGTAAGATATGTAATCCGGTGTTCTTATTGATATTTTTATTTTTTTAAAATAGTGCTCAGTGTAAATTTACAGAGCATTAATATTGTAAATTAATTGATTTAAATGTTTTTTCGCTACACAGTAATAACCATGTTTCAAAAATGGAAACTAAACGCTTCAAATTTAATTTTGTAATTAAATTAAAAACATTAGTTTCATTTCATCCTCAAGCGAATTTTGGAGTAACTTATTTTTTTTTTAATTTACTGAGTTTTAAAGGCACAGAAAATTCATAATTCAACTGTTTCCAAAGATACAGAGAGATCCAGTCATTCAGACAATGGGTGGTAGAATGTTCATTTTTATTAACTTTTGTTGTATCAGTTACGTTCGAAAAAGGGGTTATGTTTAGGTAGGGGTAGGGATGTATTTTTCAACGAATTCTGACATCCGTTAAATGCATGTCGTCTGGTTTGTTTTTTTTAATTTTATTTTTAACGGCAAAATATTCTTACGGCATTTATTTCTATTTGTATACTTAAAGATTTTTTGGGGATGTTTATGTTAGAATACGTTTTATTTGACTACAATTTTAAAATATTTTCACTTTTAATTTTTAATAGACTATATTTCTTTTAAAACAAGTAAATGTACTAGAATTACTTACAGTATATAAAATTGTTTTTTCATATCAAGTATGTATATTACCAGGTCACATTTTTTTTAAATTTTATTTTTAAATATTATTTATGTAAAATTTATGACAATGACGACAAAAATAGCTAATTCATTTCACTGATCCAGTAAACTTTTATTTTTTATAAACTTAGTAATATATAGTTTCTCATGTATGTACAAAGGACATGGGTCATTTAAAAGCCTACATATTCTAGCTTTTCTTATTAATTTCATTTTACTGTAAGTGTTTTATTAACTAGTTAATTTATAATATATATATATATATATATATATATAATTTTTTCGGAAATTATAACATAAACATGTTAGAAAATCATTACAAAAATAGCAATTTTCTTTCAACACTTCTGGTGTCTTATCAAATGATGGTGTTGAATGTAGAATAAAGAGTTTTAAAAGATTCAAATCAACCAAACACCCTTCGATAGGGAAAACGCTGTTACATAAGCTGCAATGACCAATCAAAATACAAGTATATGAGAATTCAAAAATCTTGACAACGAAACTTGGTTATAATAATTAATGCCTAAATGTTAAGGTTAGACTAAAATAGAAATCATTCTGATTAATATTAAATTTTACTATAAAAGTGAAAACTAAAAATTACCAATTTTAATTTTCACCTGTATTAACTTTCGAAAATTCTATTAGGTCATTCTAACTGATCAGCTTTTGCCTTCAATTAATAAGAAATCCGATTCCCTCCTACTACCCCTCTGATCGTCTCTATATCACAATACGCGGCGGGCAACTCCAACAGGCGGCATCGTGACTAACTCACGGGACAATTTGTTCCCCCTGCCAAAAGGCGGTTCAGAACTACTACCAATTCCAACGACAAATTTGTTGTCACTTATTCCCAAATGCTTTTATTTATTTTTCTTTTGACCAAGAGGATGGCAGCTTTCATTGTTCAGAAAATAATCTAGAATCATACACTATTCCTTCCAATGGTTCGGTAGTTGGTTGCTTTTGTATAGCGGCATATCAATCCGCATTGGTTATTTAATGCCGATATCTAAATATGAAAATTCAAACTTTATAATTACTTCAAGAGAAATTACATTATTTCATGATTAAATTGTAATTACATAGCTGCATTTTTTTACCAAATGATCTTACAAAATCAAACGATAAGTTAAAACTCTTTACAAGAAATTAAATTATAGCAAATTGTTTTTGCTTTTTTTTTGACAGTGTATGCCATGTCTTCAATTTAACTACAAAATATAATGATGTTCTTTTGCTATAAAAATGTCTTATTGGCAATTTTTCTATAAAATGTACTGCTGGTAATTTTAATATAAAGTTGTTATTGGTAATTTCACTACAAAAATGTATTGTTACAAAACTATATTGTAGTATTTTTTTACTGTACAAGCATATTTATATACTTTCCTAGTGTTTTGATTTGAGTCAATGTGGACCTGGGAACAACAGCAATTAAGTGGTGGTTGCACGCTTCTAAAATCCTCCATTCTCTCTCTTGCTGCCAGATGTAGTTTATCGTCTACGAAAAAAGAACTAAACAAAATGAACACAAAACGATCAGCTTTAAAAAAGGACTCGTAACTGGAAAAACCGAATGAAAAAAGAATGTTAACAACAAATACTTTTCACACCCAACCCAGTTCTGCGGAATCAGAATCAACGTTGAGTTAAAGCAAGCGAATGAGCCAATTGGAGTAAAGTGCTATGCAGATTTAAATTTTTCCCACTTGTGACGAATGCAGCTATCGATTTTTTTGCATGCTAGCATGCTAGTTAACATTCGTGTCAGTCAGCTGTTGGCTTTTACGCTGGCCAATAGAATCTTCCTGCATATTCGTGGG